GGGTAGCCAGGTAAGAATAGTACAATTGATAAACTGTGTTAAAATACCAATGCGTTCCGAATAGCTGGCTAGAGAATTGCGTACGAGCAGGACAAAATAGCAAATGTCCGGGATGCTTGACACTGTGCCTTCAGTCTAGCCAGCACTTTAAAACTATAAAGGTCAGCATCAATGTAGAAACTTGTCAATTCCTAGGCTATTGATTTTAAGGAATTATTTGCGGTTACAGGTTCCTTCGTTGATCAAACAGGATTAGTAAATATGCTTTATAAATGTACAACGACTTATTTAGTATGTTTCGCGATCGATGAATGGGGACACTTGTTATCAATGTCCATAAAGTTACATGATTCAGTTTATTTTCAAAGGAAATTCAGAATTTTGTGCACTACATTATATAATATTGTCATGTCCAAATTCTAACGCTGTTTCAATTTTTCTTATCATCACCAGCATTTTGATTACTTTCGTAATCGCTTTTATTTCTGCTGTCATGGTTATTAACATTACTCCTATCATTGACTACATAATTAACAAACGTCGTCATAGACCTAGAAATCACCATGATTAGTTTCATTGTTGACTTCTGACAGCCTCATTTGTAAAGCATATTATAAAGAATATTTTTCATACATTCATTAAATCTGTCAGTAAAACTTGCTGACGATATATTCTTATTCTGATCATTAGCGAGAATAAAATCATCCCTGCGTCCATAAAAATGATTGGCATTACATTAATCTTTCCTTTGTGGATTGACCTTGAAAGTAAGGTCAATCAATATACGGGAAATTAGGTTCTAATAATTTTGGATTATTATATTTCACACGCAATTTTAGCGTTGTAATTTTCACCTTCTCATTGTTTAAGTGTTTCAGAAACTTCAAAATTCCCACTGTATATTTAAAAAGAAGAATTGTTTCAGCAAATCAATCCTTTAAATCACTTCACCTCAAAGTTCACACTTATAAGTTCATTAATGTTAGTGTAAGGCAGAAAAAGTTATATTTGAGATAGTAAGTATCACTTACAGATTGAATTGAATAAAACTGAATAAACAACTAAACAACAATCAGATTGGTACTAAATACAAAAACTTTCTGGTGAAAATTGTAATATAAGACCATACATACGAAAAGGATCCGAGAATAAAGTAAGTTTTTCAATTAGATGCATTATTCCCCTTACAAATAATTCATTTAGTTTGAGGTTTGTGGGGATTTTATTCTAAGGTAGTGTTCGTCATGCACAAACATCGTTTGGAGAACTATTGAAAACTTTCAAAAACTGGACATCTGTTTCATCCCAGTACGAGACTCCTCAGTGACATGCAACCACAACTCCGCCATAGGTCAAACCCGGAACCTTCAGGTTCTGCCGCCAGCGTTTTACCAGTGAGTCACTGCACCACAGTTTAATGGTTCTAACTGGTTGACCCAGCAGGTCATCGTTTGTAATTAGGACTTCTGGACATCCCAACCTAGTGACTGTAAGGTCAACGAGTTCGCCATGAAACCTGAAGGTCCTGGGTTTGATTCCTGGTGGGGTCAGTAGTACTACTCAGTCACATGCCGGGACAAAACAGCCGTCCAGTGCCCTCATTTGTCCACAGGTTCTCCAACTGATGTCACGGTAACCAATTAGTTGTCTAGGTTGCCTTGACTTATGATTATATGCGAGTATGCTGGTCTAATTACAGTAGGTATTCTTCCTATGTAATGTACAGGATACCCGTGCAACCACTGGCAGACACACATAGTACAGTATCAGTAAGATAAACAAGAATAACACTTTACAGTTTGTCACTTTCAACCTCGTATAATAGAATGCAAAGTAATACGTTTACGCATTAACAAAAGGCATGATCTATATTAGTCATGTAGTAGAGTAATATGAAGTCAATTTTACTCCGAATAGCAGTTTCTTGAACTCAACTTCTGGTAGAAAGAGGTAAGAATACAATTTGTAGGGTTACTTTTTGTATATAGACGAAACACCAAGTGAAATCACAGATTTCTTAGGAATATTCACGACTTTTAACATTTTAACAAACTAACAGTCATCGTTCAGACAGCCAGCTTTGAGAATTTCAGTCCTGTTTAGCTGACTATTGGTTAGTTAACTGTAGTGGTCCCAGGTGACCTTAGATTTGTGTACCTCCTGTAAAGAAAGCAAAAAACAGCGAAACTGCATCCTCTCAGCTCAATTACTATTACCACTTACTTTCTTCTTCAAGAGTTCTTTTAGTTTCTATTTAAACTGCTTCTCCTTAAATTCAGTCATATCTTTTTATGGAACACTTCGGAATCTCGAGTCATCTTAAACATATATGCCTTTCAGTTTAACTGTCTGAGATAGTCGTGGTTTGGCAGACTTGTACTGGTTGGCAGGACGCGAACCAGCAACCACCGGGTTTCCGGACTAGTGCTCTACAAACTGAACTACAAGTTGTGCATATGTGTGTCTCTGTCCGTTATAACCACACTAGGACATTCCTTCAGCCCAAGAACAAGAAGACTGGTATTACAAATCAAATATCTTAAAGCTGGTTTGTTACATTTGAATGAAAACGGTTGATTGTGGGATTTGGTTAGTTTATATATTGACTAACATTATCAACCAGTAAAGATTATAGCCACCTTGCTTCTCTTAAGAAAGTTGTTAGTGTAAGTTTGTAAACTGGGGGCTGAGTCGATTATGCAGGTGAAGCTTTTGAGGAGGATAGGAAATCTGAATATGACTGAAAGTGCTTTATTTTCTATTGGACAATTTGTACATGACGTTTTGATGACCTAGATAAATAAAGATTATTCGAAATTCCCGCGTTCTCGTCAACCAAATTTAATAAACATGATCCTACACATTACACTCATTTCAGTGATAACCATGTCGAAACCAAAGGCATTTATCCTCATTGATTGGTCACTAGAGAGCAACCATTTTCATTTTGTCTAGTTATGAGTGCTATCGACAACTTTGCAATGTGGTTACCAAGCTAGGAGGTTCATAATTGCCGTGCAGAATAAACGATAAAATTCGGTCGGCACTCAGGACTAGACGTGAAATTGGTTACTTCTTCAGTGTTCACAGAGTATTTTTGTAGTCTCTTTTCTTGTAGATTCCAAGTGATACTCATCTCCCTATCAAACAAGTTAGCTGTTGACAGGTAAAAATACCAGTGAATAGTGATATAACTATATCTTGTTGATCTGCAACGCATACTATAACCTTACTTGCCGTATTTACTTGAAAATATTCAACTCAGTAAAACAATCGACAGTAGTAAGTCATAAGAAATACCGATAATTCTCTTTCTGGGTCAAACTTAAGGTTTTACTGTTGGTCAAAAGGCTAAGCAATTGATTATTTTTCCTACCTTAACTAAGTGTTGTTCACATGATGGATTAACCGAAACTAGTTTCCTGTAGATTATAAAACCATTAAAATGTATATTTAAGCGGAAATATCCAGAACCTACTAATTTCTACTGTACTGAAGAAGGTTGTTCTAACAAGAAAAATATTTGTTTCCCATTTTCACCGAGCAGTTTTGAGTGGAAATCACTCTGTAGAGTCACATACTTCCCCAAAATCAATAGCCTAGGGTTTGACGACTTTCGACGTCGATGCTGACCTTGATAGTTTAACTGGACTCGCTAAGCTGAAGGCACCCGGTCAAGCATCCTCGCCATTTGGCACGCTGTCGTGTTACGTTGCATTGCTCGTATTTGACTCTCTAGCCAGTTAGTTGGAACGCATCGGTATTTCGGCACAACCATCCAAATATACTATTCCATCCGACTACGCTTTCGTGTTCTTCCTTGGTCTCGTATTCGTGGGTATATAACAAGTTCGAATAATTAGTGATTGGTCTTTGCGTCTGTCAAGTTCGCACCAGGACAAATCCTAAAACTCTACAACTGCTCTCCTCTTACTAAGCCCTGAAAACTCTTTTTATCTAGTGGAAAAAATCAGGTTAATAGATCGGTGGTGATTACCTTTATTCTATATAGATTACCCAAACATTATCGAATCTCACACAGCACTGAATAACTGTTAAGCTCTGCTTTTAGATACATCTCAGTAGTACGTGGTTATATTCGTCAGGTTTTGTTGAGTTCATGTTCCGTTTCCAGACGCTGGACACTACTTAACGATAATGAGATCGCATCAGAGGTGATGAAGATACCCAACCAACAACAACAAGCACCATCAACGGGAGAAATCTAAAGGAAGTGGTCTCTTCCACCTACCTCTCTACCTAGACAGCATCGTTTTAACTACAGGCGACGTCGGCACAGATGAGGACGTCAAAGCCAGGACCGGAAAGACAGGCCATCATTAACCTGAAGTCAGTGTAGAGATCTACTCCACTCCACATAAAGCGTGAACAAAATCCGGATTTTCAACACTAATGTCAGTCAACCCAGTGTTTTTATGTCACAGCTGAGACTTGGCGCGTTACGAATAGCATTCCCAAAGAACAGCAGATATACATCATCAACAGCTGCCGCCTACGCTCGCTCGATACTGAAGACCAGATGACCAGAATAATAAGCAGCAAGGAACTCTGGCCGGCAACAAACCAACCAAGAACCCATCGCCCAACAAATATGCAGAAGGTGAGATGGATTGGAGACACACTGAAACCATTCGGGGATATCACGTGCCAGGCCAGGCCCTGGAGTAGAGCCCGAAGGGGAAACGACGAGTTGGGCGTCCAAGGCGAGGATGACATGTGCGAGGAAGAAAGTTTGTGGGGAGTCGTGTAGTCAGGTTCAAAACATTACAGAGAAGAGAGTGAAATGGCGACATGCTATTGAAGCCCTATGTCCCACTAGGAACCCAAGGGACAAATAATAATATATCGCGTCAGAGCACAACTTATTATCAGACGTTGTATTAGGAGCACTTTTGGAAACCCCATACATCCTACTACATAGCATTTTGTGAAGTCCACCTAGTCATAAAAGTGCTGTCGGATAAAAAGAACACATTCATACTAATGAATTCCAGACAATCCGTAATTAAGTATATTTTGGGTACCACAAACAACATTCAAAACGTCAATATTAATAACAATAATCATGTAAAACAAAGTAATTGAGCATAGAATGTGATTAACAATTGACAAAAATCATCAACACTATAGAAGTAGTGGAATACAAAAATAAAGCATCACAGAACAAAACAACATACGCATATAAAAAAAATGATCATCAATAAAAAGGCAAGATGTTTGGAGAATGGATAGGGTACACGAGGAAGAAAAAAAGTTAGCAATACGCGAATTTGTCTTTAAGCTGCATTCGTTAATTTATCGCTTCATTGCTTATACTTATAGAATTGGTTGTTCCATCACATCTAGACTATGATAACGACGTAAACGGAATGTATAATACCAGAATAATGTAAGCAGTAAAACTGTAGAGATTAATGCACCAATGAAGACAAGTAGGACTGGATGTAGTGGATAATTACTGTTTGATTCGTCGAATGAACACGCATCATAAAAGCTTTTACGATCGATTAACAATGGTTTTATTTGTTCAAACACAAGATTGACAGGACAACCAGAAGTAATATTTTTCTCTTTACAGACAGGAAATGTTAAATATTCACCCTTTTTATCAGTCCAACCTCTTTTATAGAGTAGTTTAAGGCTGAAATCACTCTCTTCATCCGATTTTTCAGGACCATATAGTTCTAGTATTACAGTTGAAGCGTAATGAACTGTCTGATTGTCATAAACGCCAAAACCAGCTAACAGATATGTTACATCAGTATCATGTGCTGAATAAACCATTATGTGATTAGTAGATAAAGGATGCTCTCCAAGCATATCTACTTTCCCTCCATTGATAATTGAACGGACATGTTTGACGAATGAATCTAAAAAAACGCCAATTTCTAATCGAATAATATCACTTGACGAAGTAAACTTTTTCTGTAATGAAAAATAGTATAAACAAAGTAACTTATGTAGTGAAAATCCAAAAAAAATCATAAAAGGTATACGTTTAATGTTTATTGATATCCATACCATAAGCAGTGGCTCTCGTACCTTAGTGGCTTAATAGTAACCCTTTGACGCTTAAAATGTTGGATATTGGCTTCGAGTCTTCGTGAGAACAACATCACTCCTTGAGGTGCAGGTACATCAAGCTAAGGAGTCCCAAATATGACGAAACGCGCGTCCTACATTCCACTGCTAGCTATCAAATAGACTACGTTATGTGTTTAACTCTGGCAAATAATTATGTTGGATACAATAAATATAGTTTTAGAATATTCTTATTTCCTAGTGCAGGAAGTAAGTTAGTATGCTTAGAAAATGCGTATGTATCAAACTTTTCATTAAAGATTCACCTATCGGGTTCTACGATCTCCCGCTTATCCAGTCTTCCCAAAATACACAGAGAAGGCATCCCACTCCGTACAATACTAGATATGATAAATTCTCCATATCATTCAATCGCGAAATGGCTTGTAGAAATATTGGAACTTGTGTAGAAGAAGCTATTGAACCATAGTCTCTGTGACACATTTGATTTTGTTGACTCAATAAAGGATGTCAATTTGACAGGTAATGACTTCATTGGATATCGTGTACCACTGACAGAAACCATCTGTTTCCTATGTGAATTCATTCAATGTCATAACATAGATATTGGTATCCCAATTCACTACCTAAAAGAGCTTCTCCTTCCATCTGCCTTCAATGTACACTTCACATTTAATAATCAGATCTACAGGCAGATAGATGGTGTTGCAATGGGTTCTCCACTAGGACCTCTCCTACCTGATTGCTTCATGGCAAGCCTGGAAAACACCAACTTATCATCAACAATCAATGAACTTCATGTCTACAAAAGACACATCGATGATACCTCTATATTTTCTGATGAAAATACGAATCTTGCAAACTTGCTTCATACCTTCAACAACGACCACTCTTCAACCACATTCACTCTAGAATCAGAATCAAACTCAGCGTTTCATTTTCTCGATTATCAACTCCAAAGAAAAGACGATAATTCACTTCGTAGATCAATCTACAGAAAGCCTGCGAGGAACGGACAATTTGTTACTTTTCAAAGTTCATTCCCTTTATGCAGGAAAAGAAGTCTTATTCATTCACTTTCCACGAGGGTCAGGAAAATATGTACTGAGGACACTGTTGACGGAGAATTGCAAATACTTCGACGAACTCTAGCGGGAAATGGTTTCCAGCTCAGATTCACAGATAAGAACACAAAGCCAGAGAATTCAACTGAACGAACACATTTAGCGTCGAGAAAGATTCTTTTGTTGGATCTTGAATTCAAAAGTGATATTGCTGCAGAGATCTTCAGGAAACGACTGTCAAAATCCTTAAACAGAAGATACTTTGCCCCCAATCTTCGGATTATTTTCTCTTGCAAGAAGCTTTTTGGCCAATGTGTGAAAGACAAGCCGACGCATTGGGCGACATCAATGTGTGTATATCAGTTTACTTGCTCTTGTGGAGCTGAGTACATCGGCTGTACCATGCATCCACTTGTAAATCATGCCCGCGAACACTACCCAGCCTTGCTGGCAAAGGGAGAACGGAAATGTATCTTCAGTTCAATAACAGAACACCCAAGATCCGTTGTTTAAAAGTAGAGTTCCTAAGCAGGAAATGTAGCATTTAACGACAACATAGTTTCACCCATTAGATTCATCTCCTCAGTGTTGTCATGTTAAATTCGTTTCAAGTTGATATCAGTTGGAGGAACATTGGAAACCTGGAAGCATCGGACAGCTGTCTCTTCTTAGTATGAAACTCCTCAGTAGTGTGCACCCATGACCTCCGGGTTCCGTGGCCAGCACGTTACTGTTGAGCCACTGAGGCGGAATCCACTGGTCCTTATTTCCAACTTTTATCAGTTCACGACATAGCGTGACTATCCCTTAATGTCATCATTTAGTATTTGTTCTTACACTCACTAGGTTTGCCCCACCGATACCTGGCGAGGTCGTGGGTGAGCACTACTGAGGAGTCCCATGCTAGGACGAAACAGCTGTCTAGTGCTCTCAGGTTTCCTATGTTCCTCCAACTAATGTCAGTCCATGACGAATACCAATTTGAAATCAATAAATCCCTACAAAAGCCCAGACTGAATCTTCAATTAAATTTCAAGTTATAAAGTTTTGAATAATTCTAGAAGCCATTTCACTGTTCAATGTCATGGTGATTTGACTTGTTAAGAATTGAACAGCCTGAAAGGAAGTTAATGAAAATAATTGTCCGTTCAAATAATTCTCGTTTCGAATATTTAATTAGTTTCTTAAAATTGCGGAATATACCAATTTTATCATAGGAAAAGACAAAACGTGGTTGCAACGAAGAAGAAATTCTCTTTTCGACGAAGTCATTTATTAAGCTGTACATTTGTATGTTACAGTGGGCAGAACGTTCCAGAACTATTTCAGGCTAGGGGGTAAGACATATTGAATAACTAAAGGCAAAGGGAGAATGGAAATATATCTTCAGTTCAATGACAGAATACCTCGTGAAATCAGGCCACTCAACTCTTTTTGAGAGCTCATTCAAAATTCTCTACAGGGTTCGACCAAACCAATCGAAGGGAGTAAGATCAAGGCATCTGTCTATAGCTGAAGCACTAGCTATCCAGAAGTTTAAACCGGCGTTATGCGTCCAACAAAGGTACGTCCAACCTTGATCTTTGCCATGGCCATCTAAAGCCTTGACTGTATTTCCTCCATCTCATGTTCATTTTCCTACTCTGTCATAGATTCAACCTGCACTGCGTAATCGTGACCAGTGAGGCTAGCCTGATGGTTGTAAGGACAGTTACTCAAAGATGACATTGGGTGGCGGTTGCAGTATGTCAAGAACTGACAGAAGTTGAAAATATGGACCATTGGATTCCGACACAGTGGCTCAATGGTAACGTGCTGGCCATGGAGCCTCAAGGTCTCGGGTTCGATCCATGGCGGGGTCGTGGGTGCGCACTGCTGAGGAGTCCTATACTAGGAAGAAACAACTGCCCAGTGCTCCCAGGTTTCCATTGTTTCTCCAACTGATGTCAGTCTACGATGAATACCAACTTGAAATATTTCTAAATCCCCACAACCTCCTCGAAATTCATTACATAATCACAATTTTGTTTTCACAACCCTTTGTTCATTTTCCAACTTTTCTATGCGCTCATCCTGTATTACATGATTACATTTAATTTCATAATCCCTTTTCTATTATCTTACTCTAAATCCAAATGTGTATTAACTGACTTCCTTTAGTTATTCAGTATATTTTGACCGAGTCGGGGACAAATACAACAATTAACATAATAGGGGGATTAAAATGAGAAGAAACAGGAAGTGACATAATTGATCCTATTCTTGATAACTAAACAAAGGATCAACTATGTCACTTCCTGTTTGTTCTCACCTTTCTTTATTTTAACCCTCTATTAGGTTAATTGTCATATTTGTCCCCCTACTCCTCGGTTTAATATATATTGACTTGACAAGTAAATATGTGATCAGATTGTTCGAAATGTATTGCGCAAATATATTTTGACCCCTAACCAGAAATAATTCTGGGACGTTCTACTCACTGTTAAAGATTATAAATAAAGCATACATACGTGATAAATTCACAAATGGTTATGTCCTTTGTGTATAGGCTTGGGAAAGTGAAAGCATAGAAACACAGAAGACACTGTAGCCACGATTCTTCCAAATCGATGGAATCTAATGTTCTCCTTATGTAAAGAAATATGCTTAGTATGGGCAATGGTGTGATGAAAGCTTGATCAATACACCTCTGAACAGACATGAAATCTGGGTGATCTCCTTATGTTTGCTGCCTTGCTAACCCTAACGGTTAGATATCAAGTGTCTACAGAGCTTAAGATTTAAGTCAACATGATTATCTTTTGATTGCTGCAAAAAAACTTGTCATCTTTACAAATTGGGAGATAAAAAACTGTTACTAGTTTGAAGGGAATACATTAAAAGTGGAGTATTCAATTAACTTAGACCAGAAGGCTAGTGCAATATAATGAAATTCTTTCCTTGTCACATTTCAAATTTGATAGCTTACCTACATGGATTTAATTTGGAAGATTAGTGCCTACGCTAGTGGATGGTTGACAAATAAAAGCTGGTTGAACTCTTTCGGGTGCTTTTTCAGTTGCATATTTCTTTTTTAAAAGTATCTAACAACAGGTAACTGGAAGGTGTAGACCAATGCGAAATTCATAGCTCTTAATGCCAACGCTGGTGGTAAAGTAGTAGAAGTGAGAATCCTGATCGTCTGTTCGAATGAAAAGTCTGTGTAGAACCAATAGTATCATTTTGTGCTCAAACATAGATTAGCTCAACTATTCCCATTGTAATAAAGGCTAATTTCAGCCTAATTATCATTAGTCCAAACATCTTAGTTAGTAGAACTAGACTGGGTGACTGTTATATGTATCCCCCAACAAAAACCCTAACATTAGAAGCTGTTGGTGTTGTCGCTCGTCAGGAAAGTCGATAACGTGGTCCCAACTTGTGATAAAGTTATATTCCAACTAACTGGATAACACTTGAAAGATCCGGTCACTTATTGGCAGGAAATGTGGTCAAATATTACTCAAACTAAAAGCTAAAAGAGGTCAAACTATAATTCCTTATCGAAACTACCAAGATCAACCAGGAAGTAAGAAAATCTAACTTAGATCAACGTTTCGAAAGGGCTCCCTTCTTCTTAAGCACAATCATTTCACGTCATCTGTGTTTGTAGGGTTATACCTTGTGAGTGTTCGGTGTCTTTTCTATTGAACCTATTCGTACCACGGGGAAATTACAGGTATCGATAAAACAACAACTGATACCCATTGCACAAGAGAGAGTTGTCGTGCCCTCGTGGTCTACTAGATAGAGCTTAGGCATTCAAAACGATGGGTACTGGGGTTCTAGTCTCACTGAGAACAACACCACTCCCTGGAGTACAGGTACATCAAGCTGAGGAGTTTCAAATCGGATGAAACAGTCGTCCCAGATTCCATTGCTAACGATCAACTAGACTAAAAGTTGGTTTTCATTAATCTAAATAAAAGAACGTCTAACATATGTGCAGTTGTTAAGCCACTTACCACCCAATAGAATTTGCTGACTTCATCCAAATCAGCTAATAATTCCTTTGTACACCAATCAGGAAGAGTAATATTATGCGCAGTCATACACGTAATAAAATCACTGATCAACCATATATTATGCCGATTGACCTGACCAATCCCGGATACATTAGTGAGCTTACTAAATAATTCAGAGTGTTTCTTTTCAAATTCAACAGATGACAAACTATCCATTTGTTGTTGTTGCAACTTATCTCGTCGAGGACATGGTGATACACCGAGAAGTGCATCTGTTATCTGTAAAAGAAAATATGGAAGTAACTAAAAGGTAAAATAAGATATTTATTCTACTGGAATGAAGAATAACTATTCAGAGAATTACCCCTGACTAAATCTGTGTAGACATCACGCGCCAGGCCCTCGAGTGGGATCCAAAGGAGAAACGACGAGATGGGCGTCCGAGGCGAGGGTGACAGGGAGGAGATCATGTGAGGAAGAAATGAAAGCTTGTGGGCAGTCGTGGAGCAAGGTTCAAAGGACTGCAGAGAACAGAGTGCAATGGAGACGTGCTACTGAAGCCCTATGTCCCACTAGGAACCCAAGGTACAAATAATAATAATAAATTTGTGTAGATAGTTTATACCAGTAACTTTCAATCAATTAGAAATAGGTTTAGTACTTTCACAGTGGATTTATGCCATAGTCAAGCATAAACAATTTTCGCATTGATAGTGAACTGAAATGGTGTCAATGAGCACAACGCCATTAACTGAAGAAAAAGATTAATACCTGATATGCATAACACATCGAAAAGCTGCAATTTGCGAAAAGCGAAGAGATTGCATGCATATTGGAGAAGTAGACCAATGAATCATGCCTACTGTGTGAGGGTTAATTATACTACCTCGCTCCTCAAACCTTAGTAGATAGAGGGGTGTTCGAACCCGTGACCCGACTGGTTGAAAGTCACCACCTCCCCACCTGAACCAATAAGCCAAAAGCTCTACAACTGCAAATAGTAAGAAAATAAACTGGTAGACTAATGCATGACAGTGAGTAGGAATAATGCAAACATTTCTGGACAATTATCAGAACTTTCAAGTTATACAACGTGAAGTCAACAGGTACCGGCTAATTAGATCAGTGAAGTCTAGGGTTCCTTAGATGGTTTAGATCAACAGTTAGCGGTTTCATATGTTGGTAACTTTATTGCATATGCAAAGTAAGCATAAAGTTGTGGAGAAAACTTCTACACTAACAACAAATAATTCTATCAGTCGCAAGCCACAGTTTAGTAACTACGGAAAGTCAAATACATGTGACTTATCGTTTATTCTGATCCTATAGCTAACTATACCTCATCGCACAAGGAGTGGTTATAGAGACCCAGTAGCTAGATGGATAACGCTTTTTTTTTAAGTGATAGGTTCTGGGTTAAAGTGGCAGTGGGAACACCATCATACAATGGGATATAGGTTCATTCACCTAACAAGTCTCAACTAGGAGGAAACCCACGTCTTGGATTTCACTGCTAACAGATATCCATGACTATTTCTCTTTTTTCTCTAAAAATTGCTTTAAGTCATAGAAGAGAACGATAGACTGAGGCAACTTGTATCCCGAAAATCAAATGTCGGGTGATGCACAGTTTGGTAAGAGTGCTCAAACTTACAATCGCATCTATCTCTTGATCAATGTATTTATGTTACATAGACTCATCATGTACATGTGTTCAACTACTCCTAAAGAGTTTCGAGACTTAACTAATTTATTCATGCCACCGGAGAACAACCAATTTCATGTTGTTTAGTCCTGAGTAATGATCCAATCCTACTGATCATTTTGCAATGTGCCCATCAAGCTAGGAGGCTCATCATCACGGTGCACTTTGATGCATGTTAGCCGGTTGGAAGCGTTCAGCATGAAGCCCAAGACCTAGGTTTCGTACTTATTGGCACTCATCAGTGAGGTGTATCTGCAACCTCAAAGCAGCTGGGATCCTGTCTGACATTTACATCCGTATCACTCAGTGTTGCAGTCAGCGATGTTACTACTGAGTAATTCAGGCCGCGACTGACTTCCTGTGGAAATGGAGTAGACACACTTACTGGTCACTAGGGAGCAACCAATTTCATGTTGTCTAGTCCATGCCAATAAGCACGAAACCTAGATCCAGGGCATGTAGCTGATCGCCTCTAGGCAAATAACACTGAACACATTTATTAGTAAAAAGGCGTAGTTGAACGCGACAAACACTATTTAACAATTACGACACAGGGAAAAAACAGAAACTAAAAACAATATTAAATAGAAAACCAGTTAGTCCCACTAAATCTGTGGCTCATTGGTTTAAGGAAATGACTTTCAACCACTGGGTCGCGGGTCCAAGACCCGCTCCACCTACCAAGGTTTGGGCAGCCCTCACACAATAGATTTGACTACTTCGATGGCGCCGAATACCGCACGCAAATGCAGGCAAACGCTAGTTGACTAGGAGCAGTTACTATGACTCGACTTGAAATCAGCGATATATGAAGAGGGAAACAAATAATGCAAACTATTTACCATGTACAATTCCCTATACTCAGTTATAAGCCACATCTACATGAGGGATGATGATACTGGTTGGTTATCAAAGCCTCAATAAGATTGGGGCTGATACGTCTGTCCCACTAATTGAAGGTTAAGTGGACAAATAGACTAATAGCTCTATCTTTACCATCCATTCAACATCATTTTTCTGGTTCACATCTTGATCTTTTTCTTACTAGTCCTCATTCTGTTAACCAAGATCTTAAGCTGATCAATCCATCTAGTGACTAAATGTCGTAATTTTCGAACTAACAAAAGCAATAATTCTTACAGTTTCGTATGACAGTTATTATTATGAGCAACAATAATTCTATGTTTTTAACAATTAGTTTCTTTATTGTACATCTCTTTCCAGCTGAACTGTTCTTAATGCACAACAACTAAAACCAATAAACTATGAAGCTATATATCACTTTGCTCTTGTGCGACATAAAACATCGGTAGCCACCTTTAACTTCATAAAATGAGAGGTATATATATATAAACTCTGCAGCTACCGAAAATTGGTATAGGAAGAACTGATGCTTTGACAAGTGCAACAAAATAGAATGAGCATAACAGTCACCGTAAAAGTGATGACAATACCACTCGAGATGTATGTAAATATTTCAGTAAAAAGATGCTTTATTCATCAAGAGTTTAGTTTAGTACTAACCATAAAGAAGTTTTACTAGAGTCATATGAATCAAACTGACAGAAGGAAAACAATAAAAAGTGAGACCGAAAAAGACAGGTCTTCAATAATTTACCAGAGCAGTTGTCGAAAATGTTTGGCGGAGCAATTTAGTCTACAGTCATGCTTCAGTTATCCAACACTCAACCCGAACTTGAGCGAGAAGTTGAGAAGGCCGTAAGTAACGGGAGACGAGGGAGGACAGCAGGCTTTTATGGACTAGCGGCGGATCTACTTCAGGAATATAGTTGAAGATTATTGGCTATATTAACTAAAGTGCTGGCTGAAATATGGGGGGTTCACGCAACAACCTTGTGCACATTTGTGCACCAGACAATCAGCCACACTTATTGTGAAGGCTAGTGATGCTACCTAGATGTCTGGACCTTGGTAAGTGGAGCGGAGCTCGAACCCATGACCCAATGGTTGATAATCATCTTCCGAAACCACTGAGCCACAGCCCCACAAACTACTGATCTCTAACTGGCCTTCACTACTGGTTATTCCAGTGTTCAGGTAGGTAGAGAAACCCTCCCGTGATAACCGCAGAGAAACCAGTCTAACGAAGTGTTTACGATTCTAGGTGATATAATCAATAGACGTTTAAGTGAAGGTCAGGAACAGCAAACCAGAAAAAGCCAGGGAGGTTTCAGACCTGATCTTCAATGTATTGACCAGATATTAACTCTCAAGAAGGTTCTGTAACAGCTACACTTACCGGCATCTGACACTAGCTGCATTTCTCAACCTGAAGGCGATATCCAGCTACATCAGTCACCCTATTGAAAGAAGTGGATTCGAACACGGGTAGGCACGTTATATATAGCCCATAGTAAGGTATCAAGTGAGTTGCAAACATCGAGTGGTGCTCCTCAAGGATGTTCGCTCTCTTCCATTATTGGTCAACTTTATCACAGATGTACTTGTATAAGTCTCCTCATCTTCTGACTATACAGGGATTGATCTTATCACAAAAAAACCCTTGGTAGATCTAGAGTACAAAGATGACAGAGCTCTGTTAGGTCAAGACAATGAAAAGATGCAGTTTTCTGGATACCCCAAGTAGCGATTTCAGAATACTTGGCATTCGTTTCATGCCACCCGAATGTGAATTTCTGCTACAAGACTGGTCTGCGTTGGTGTCCCGTCTAACAGGGAGGAGTTAAATAGTAACGCGCGCTGACCACTTCACTTCCTTGATAAGTTGGATCAACTCAGGTGTGGCAGTAAGGGTGGGGTATACGGCGTGGCCATTTGCTCTGTTCTACGATATGATTGTGAAACGTGGCCAGTGAAATCAAAGAACATGAGGACTCCAGGCGTTCAACCACTGTTACCTTAGATGTCTGGACTGTATCGGGGAATAATAACGTTGGTAATGCTGAAGTCGGGATTCAGATAAAAGATATACGTCGGTTGATAAGTTTGCAAACTTTTGTCAGCTCAAACAGTCAGAACATAATACGCATGCCTGATAACTGTTTACCCCATATCCCACGTTAGCTGAAGTAGATTTAGGATGGAAAAAGGCTACAGGAAGTGACTAAAATATGACAACATTCTATAAAGTCCCCGACTGTTGGTCTTAGACAAGTAGAGAAATGTAAATTTCTCGCTTAGTTCACGTATCAACCAAAATCGGTAGTTGAAGACTCTAGGTGATATGGCGCAGATGTACCCACATTTTTTTCTCTCTATCATCACACCGAATTTTATCATTGTTTTATTCCTTCCTGTAGTCTACTCACCAATTTTCACTACTTTTCACTTATTTCTTCCTTGTTTCTTTATCTTCGCTTGTGTGACTACTATCCTCGTGGGCTGATGACTTTTTGTAATTCGGACAGTTATACAATAACGTCAGGTCCCACGCTGAAGCTGACTGTTAGGAAACCAGAGAGGTTTTCTTGTGGAAAGCCCAGGGAAATCAGTTCGATTTTTACTGTATCCAAGATTCCAGAGTTTATAGTCATCCGACGCCAAAGTGGAGCTTGAAACAACTAAATTGCGAAAGCCAGGCAATTTTCAGACCTGGATGAAGGTACATCAGTTAGATCTGACATCGGTAGGCTTCGTAACATAGGCATATTAACTGGTGTCCGACACTTGTTATATTTCTTCACCTAGACGTGGCATTCGATTCTGATGACCAAAATATGTTGCGACAATGACTGACTGCATAGTTTCTCATCGAACTCACACAGCTGTGTAAAGACTCACAGTGAGTCTTCATGTGAAATAACGATAAGTTGTTTGTGGAGAATACCCATTGGGACTATTCCTATCAAAACATGATACAGATGTGCTTATGCAGCTAACCTCACAAACTTCAACTCTTCAGATATTGACTTACTCCTCGGAAGGCATCTGGCTGACTTGGCGAAGACACTGATAAAATGCAGGCTTAAAATGACTTAAGCAAAAATGTGAGAGTATTTAGTATACATCTTGTATCCGTCAACAGAAGGATACTACTTCAAGATTAGTCTGCCCATAAGTGCAGTGGTGGAATCCGTTGGCCACATGGGAAGCTGCATTATGCTGAACAAATTGGTGGTTGACGAAATTTTAACTTAGATTCAAATGGTCCATTTGGTATTTGTCCACTTACAGTGAGTATGGCACTGACAAATTCAACTACATACCAAAACTTAAGTGGTCCGCAGAGCAGTCCGATTAGTCCATTTGTACAAGAGTAGGACATAGTCGTTGAAAGTAGGTATGAAAATGTCACAAGTGTTTCGCCATGTGTCTTCGTAGCATCACTTGTGTGTAGTAAAATTCCTTTGAGTAATGTTGAGGTTAGGCGTAGAGTGTTAGGTAAAGAGCGTATATCAGTCAACGGGGTTATCTTCACCAAATAAGGTGGGATGGATGTGATGTACACACCGGGCCCCTACCAACCTCAAAACGTTGTTAACCCAATCGGGATTGGACTAGAAGGCTACACAAGACGTGGGTAGGTGTAGACTGCCTGGTTGAGGTTTTTAAGATTATAGGAACCAACAGTGAGAGACTATTGATGGTGACTCACTGTCTTGAGCACTTGACTTTAGACCAAAGTGTCTAGGATTTGTCCCCGCTCCCCTAGTATTATAAGTAATAAAATAAAGGTGCGACAGCCCAAAATCGATCACAATAGCACAGATATATACACTATTTACCATCAAGATTCCGAAGATTTTCATTGGTATTCATTTGTTCTTTTCTCATATACACTCGTGTCTACTTTAGTCTCATTCTTCTGTATCGACCTTGTCTGTGGATGCTGCTGTCAAGCAAAGTAGCTTGAACTGATGCACCTCTGCGTCGCTTTATACACTGATCAGCCAGTCCCTATTTGTAAAAAGCACTAGTAAACAGATGTGAGTAAAACTGGGATGCTTATTTATATGAACTATGATCAAGATTTGACCAAATAGTAAGGCAAATATTGGGCGCTGAGTAAAAGACTGACATTATATTTAGTTTGGATTAGTGTAAGTCACGCTGTGACTTACACAAGTCCAAACTACATATAGTGCGATGCCTATGTTTTGCAGAACTGTCTGTTAAGCTATAAAAATATATTTTTAAATATAATCCCAGCGTGTTCAGAAAATCAAAGCAAGATACCTTGTTTTGAATGCAAAAAATCCAGGAATACGAAATGCAATAATCAAAATCCATGTCAGTGTTGGAAAGACTACAAATTAAAGCTGTTTCCAGTGATTCAATCCAACAAATACTATTATGCTGTACATGACAATTAACGCTTAGCATACTATGAATTGAAACTAACCTGAGGTTTTGTGTGCACTGGAACAGGAGACCAATTGACGCCGTAATCAGTAAGGGGTGAATAAGACGAGTTGTAAAACCCAGCTGAATTAGCCATAGCTGACATCAGAGTTCTGTCGACGTCAGTGCTACGTACATGATAATAAGATCCGTTATATTTAGTAGGGACAAATCCTTCATATTTCGACCGTAACCATTTACCAAGCATGAAGTGTTGCTGTGTACCAATGTTTGTAAGTTGACCAAAACCCTGTGGCCAAACAGCTGAAAAGTTTGGAAAAATTGCAGGTAGGCTGTTTATAGGAGACCGGTCACCATGTCGAAACAAAATGTGCAGATGCTTGAGGTGATCATTCCCTGGGTGACTATTAGAACCTTGTGAAGGTTGGTTCACTGACTGAGCTTCTTGACCATGAGGCACCACCCACAAACTGAACAGTATGAAGAATATTCTCACTATATGCATTGATGTATAGGTTACGTGTCACTAGGGTTAGGTTACCAATCCACAGTCAGTGAAAAATCTAGAGAAAAGATAAGTTAACTGATTAATGCAAATTAATTCCATACAGGTTCAAAATCGTTATACGTAACTTAGCAAGTATGCACAAGTTCATGCATCAGGCAGCAAGCTACACTAAAATTGTCATGAGTGAGATTACTACCTCGATGAGTCTTGGTAAGTGACGTGAGGATTTGACCCCTGACAAATGAGTCATAGTTCTATAGAGGCTTGTCCTAGGTTATGATGCATTCACTTACTAAAAAGACTACGTACAACATGAGCATCAAGCTATGCCATATACAAAGTAAAAAAAACCTTATGGAGTGACAGAGAAAAGTAAGGAGAGAGTTTACGGGAGCAAAGATTGGCAGAGACGAATTCAAAAAAGAATTTACTATTATCCTTCTACTTCTCAAAAAGGTAAGAAATGAGAAAGCTGCGGCAGAATCGCCACTCGTTTAGATTCTGGGCCAAATGTGATATCATCTTGAGCCACTAAGTGGCAAAATGTTTCACACATCCAGGGAATCGTGAGGAGTCAACAGATGCAAGCCTAACACATCCGTCACTAGCAGAGCCACGTCATATACTGGTCACCTCTTTGCTTCTTCTAACCAACCCAAAGCACGCGAACAGTAAGCGACATGGTAAGACTAACATATTGGCATAGGTTTTCGAAACTGTTTCAAGTACCTAACTCAGAAAATGGGTGGAAACTTGACTTGTTCTTTGAAGGCAACATTCAAAGTCTGCATACTAGGTTAATACTGAAAGACAACTATGGGGTAACCCATTTTTATGAGGATGATGAAGAATGACCTAGATGTGTTAGTTGTGACTTGACGTTTGAAAAAAGTGGGAAATGAGTTAAATGAGTAAATATAGTCAGATGTTTTGAAAAGCAGTTACACTAGCCTTAGTATGGATCCACAAAGACCGGTGTTAAACCGCTAGACACTCCAAGACTGAGTAAAACTATACAATTTTGAGCTACGTAAATATTAATGAATTCATAGGATCGTAGGCAACATTCGTAGATCCGAAATTCAACATACGTAAGGAAGTAATTAGCCCACCCCAAAAAAGCAAGTTAACAAGTGGTAAAAGGTTTAGTTGACCAAGCAAAAAGACAGATACACAGGAAGTAACAACTTAGGATTTGATGCAGTCGTATATCGATGCAAGTTGTCATACCTTAAATAAACACATCTGCAATGGATATGAAGGAAGAAATGAAAATTACTTCGGAAATTCTTAAAATTTCACTTCGCATCACACAGAAGAATCAAGGTGATTTAACCACATTCAGAAACCCAAAAATAAAACAATCTGGAAACTTGCTTTTCAAGGAAATCGTATTTATTTTATAAGGAGTAAAATTTAATCGAAATAAGTGATATACTTTGAAGAAACGTATAATGAGAAGGCCACATAAAGCATTAGTAAGTAGAGGTAAACCAGCTATACTGGTATACCCACCGATTAGGTCTAAATAACCAGCAGATGCATTTACTGCCTTATAGATAGCTCCATTTTGGTAAACTAGAAAACTGTATACACCCAGTGAACTATAATTTAACAAGATACTGACAATGGAAAGTTTACAAAACGGCTAGACATTACCAGGATTACATCATATGTGAGACAACTTTTTGAATCGAAGTTCTCTACCATACTGTAAGCAGAAGTCACTGGTTTCCTTAAATTTACCCAACGACTTTGGTCGATGTATCTTAGAGAATATAGAGGTAGAGTTAAAAACGATGGGAGAACCATTCGACTACCAGCTCTTGGAATCTGTGTGGAAGTACTTCGAAGATCCTTTATTACTTTATTTGAAAGAACGTTCTCATGACACATTTTAACTGACAATAGTAACATAAGAACAGTCTGTTTCAAATCAGTGTTAACCAGACACTAGAATATTCCTCAGAAACCTTTTAATCAGCGAGTTAGATATTGTGTTTGTCAGCAGTAAAAGTCACCACAGATTTTTGAAACAACCCTTAGTTATACCTGATCTTCCATTAACTTCATGTGCCATTCAATGAACTACCAAACTAAATATAATCGAGATGATAAATAATTCCTGCATTTCATGAGGTATGTCTGAAAGTATGAACGAATAATTTGCAAACAACAATAATCAATCTTAAATTAATGATCAACTAATTGAGTAATAAAGTCCCAAATAAACTTAAGTCACGGTGATGTAACGTGTGAAACCAGTCTCTTACAAAACTGATTAACCACTTTAAAGATGGCAAATCAGTATGCTGTAAGTGAACTAAGACGACATTGTCACTTATCCATTTGCAAAAGATTAGAAAATTATGAATGGTTCCATTATATTTTTTGACAATATATTGAACGACTTATTCTATCTAGATCTTTGAAAGTGGTGAGTGAGAAACCACTACTGACGATTACTGATATTTATTATTATTGATTAACTATTAACAGATAAACAAGTAATAGATGCTCTAATTCAAAACTTAAATTTTAGATAAACTATAGCCTCTAATTCTACAAAATGTAGATCCAAGTAGTAAAGCTAAGGAATTCTGTAGTTCTAGTGGCTCCAAATTACCTTGAGAAAAACAAGTCACAAAAAAGCAGGTTATTCACTTATTTTCTAGTATGTAGGGTTCAAAAAATTCTCGAAATTTAATTTCTAAGTAGTATACTATAGAATTACCTAGATTCATTAGTGTTCACATGTAAGAAATGAATATCTTCCTATCTGCTTACGAGTTACAGTTGCAATACTCGTCTCGGTTTATGAATCAAAGATTAGAAACTAGAAACTGGGTATCACGGTTGTGTGACGTGAAGTTCCATTACTTCGCTTTCAAGATGGTGTTGAATCCTCGCCTGTAAAGCAATAATCAGATACTAAGTAGGTCCTCTTTTCAGGATCGGTGAGCAGATGAGGCGTTTCGTCTTTCTTTTTCTCATATATAAGAACTAATTAGAATTAGTGGTTTGCACGTACTAGTGTGAGCTACTCATTCTTGACTTTTCTAAATGCGGCAACGCGAAAACCTGAAGAAACATGCAGAAGTGGCAAATACTGTAGGAATATCAGCTTTATTTGAAGCAACTTAACCGAATGTTTAGATGCTACAGACAAATTTTCTATCGCCTCTAAAATATAATTAAGGATTTAGGGTCAATGAGTGAGTAACGCAACGACGGTAGTATAGCAGTTTGAGTAAAAAGCAGGAATACAGTCAAGATAATTCACTTCAAACATGATTAGAACTAAGATTTCAAATTAGCACTGCAGTATATACGCTAGCATTAAATTCTGAGTGATAGCTGGTCATACGTAGGGAATAAACGCCTACTAACCCCAAAAGACTAACCTAAATAAAATCTAGAAATATTGGTTGAACACAATGACAGATTCCTTTACTAATTTTGAAGTCTTTGAGCATCTAGATAACAAAAACAATATTTATTCCGTACAAGAACATTTCGTCTATGCGCTTACCTGACTATAAAATTAGGTTTACGACCCGATCATTAGTACATTCAGCGTATTTTGGAACTTACGGATACTACTCTGCCAATACAATTAAGGTACTGCGGCTTGTTAATACTGGCCTGGAACACGCAAAAGTTTACCCCACTTGCAGAGTCCGCTGAAACCTAGAAATTCAAATATGTACACACAAGCCTTCGGTCTACAACTTCTAGAATCCACTAGGTGAGCTTAAACTCATCTAACTCCCCATTGGGATCGCCTTGTGGAAAGACTGAGAAACTGTGGGGAATGTTGAAGAAATATTTTGGGAAGTACGCATAATTTTGAGAATTTTGCGGGGAGCACATATAATTTGGAGAAAAACCTTGGATGCAAACAAAACATTGAGAGATAGTCACATTTCCTCAATATTTCCCCACTATGCCTGGAATGAGTTTTCATTACGCACAGTTAATTCGTAAAAACAGTTGGTCGATGGACTAAAATGCACTTTCATGTGATTAGCTGTCACACTGCAATTAAAGTACGAATGAGAAAACAATTTTCCGATCCCGACATACGAAATAACTAAATTCAAAAGCCTCAGGCTACTTGTTTACATTAGGGGGAAAAAAACTTCAGTAACCTAACGCACCCACATGCGTTGCGAAGACCCACTGTATACAAACTTTAGGAATGACCTTGACGAGATCGTTCCACAGAAAACTAAAACGAAGAAACATTTTTGATAGCTGATTAAACCAAAGACATATATTTTGTGTGTACAAATTTAAAATGTCAAAACAGTTCATTGATTAGGTCATATCTTGAGCGAACACTTTGATTTATAATCTGTGCGGTGGTGGAAAACGGAGTGTAGTAGTTAGACGGTATTCCATATCCTTAGCACACTCATGGCTCCAAGATAGTTTTATAGGGGTAATTTTTAAATAACTGGAAATTCTTATGCCTTTACAACATACTGTTTGAAGGCCTTTTGATCATGTTTCGTAACACTAAAGTATGTAACTTTCTAATTGGATTTCTACGATGGTAAGAAATGTATATGACTCTTTAGTAACGTCAGTATGTCAGAAGTTCTTTGTAATCAAAACTGCAACTTGCCTAACGACTTTTCTTGCTGGCTTTCTAATGCGGCTTTGAAAGAAACGCCAAACCTCACTGTAGCAGACCTATCGCTGCGGTTGGAATTCACTGTTCGCTGAACACACGGACAGTAGACCAAGATTACCTTCCGTCAGTCCTCTTGATGCATAACTTCTGTCTGATGGTGTTGGAAAGTTTTCCACTAGGTTTGGACAGACAAAAACATTTCAAACTTGATGTTGTAGATTTAGTCAGCAGAGGTGCCTCGGCCTCTGCGTCTGTCTTATTGGAGTACTTTCTAGGTCTTGAATGGTCACAGTTATCTCCATGGTTCCGAAAATCCTAAAAGGATAAAGATAATTGATTGCTAATTAATCTGGTCTGAAGACTTATTCCTTGTGCTGCTTAATACTCATGACTGCCAGGCCAAGAAGAAAAACATTTGTGTCACCGGTCAAGTATTTGCGTTTTCCAAATCGCAGTGATGCATTGAGATGAGCGCGAGATTGTATGTCATGAACGAGGATCAGAAAGTGAGACAATATCATGTTAAATACTGCTTGAGTGCATACCTTTCGCTCAACAAGTCTGGTAAAACTTTGATCGGCATCGATTCCAAGCGGACTTTGCCCATCAAATTTAGGTTTGGGGAAACTAGTCACCACCGAACCTGTCTTACCCCGATACTTTGCGGGGACCCTAAGATGATATCGGCCAAAATCGAAAGCTTAGCGTTTCCGCCACCAGCAAAACCCTAAGTATCCACTGGCCTTTTCGTTTCTTAGCACGCATAAAGGCGTGCTGAGATATAACAAGGTAGTCTCCATCATTTTCTTCTTCGTGTACACCTTTGTCTTCTCCAAGCGGTTGCGTCAAAAACTTATGAGTGGGTCCCCCTTTTACATTTCCACTGATGCTTGCCTCGCTTTAGCCTCCAATAATAAAATGAAGTTTTTTGTGCTCATTTCCCCTCTGATATTAGCAAGCTGAGTTGCTCGACTGTTGCGCGTGTTTTCATTTTTATTGCGGTAATGTTCTCAAAAACTGTGACCATTCATTTTGTTTGACTTCATTAAATTTGATTCCTTGGACCTACTGAAGTTTCCTTCCTGATTGGCGCCAACACTGCTTTTCGTTTCGCCCAGAAAACACCACTTTTCAGCGTGTGCAGTGTTAAAATTTAGATAACAATAAATATTGTCCTCGTATAATGGGCTCTTGAAAGTTTACAAAATAGTATTTAATGTTAAATAATTCATGTATCAAGCCACCAATGTGTAAAATCTTGTTAAAACTTGCTGCACTTCATGAGACGGACATGGATTTTCACCCCCATCTCACGAATGAGTTCCATTATTAGGAACAAAAGCGAACAATGTGCGAAGATTGCTTTATAATCAGCCGACGTTGTGAGTCCATCCGCATTGTCCGTCCGTCCGTTAGAAGGTCACCCGGTTTTCAGCTTTGCTAACCACAAAGGACCCATGTGTACCATGTGGAGCATCAGTAAGTACCCACAGTTATATGACTAATGCATTTCCCGGTCACCACGTTGTATTTAGAGGTAGCATAGGTTAATTCCACTGGGAATACTTGTTGTAGTGGATGGAAACACACATTTAAACGGCTAGTGTTCTACAGGGAACTATCAGCTTTGGTTGGAGCATGAGACGTATATAAGTTCCTGCCTGATATTTTCAGATCATATTCTAATTTGTGCTGGCAGTGTTCCGCAGCACTGGCGTAGACGTGAGACGATATTAAAAGACTACCTCAAATGAACAACATAGCATGTTTTTCGTAGTCTACAATCTCACTGATAATGTGCGCCGTGGGAAAAACATTTTTTCATAGCCATTTGTGGGCCAATTATGACTGGATGGCAAAAACACAGCATTGTCCGCTGGCACTGAGGTATTACCTCAATTCCGATCTGTATTATTCGACAAGAAATGTGGTGAACAGGAAACTGGGTAAAAGGAGTCAGAAGCTCGCTTTCTAACTACCTTTTACAGATTCTGGTGTGAAGCGACACTTACACATACGTATATAATTGGTGTTTTCACGCATGGGATTTCTATCTGTGAACGTGGGAACAAATAATTTCATAGGTTTTTCGATCACCAGCAGTTGTTGTGCTTGGAGGGTTGCCGAGACTTAAAGAGGTCACTGTACGCCAATACTCCTCATAGATATACTTGTAACAAATTCGATATCCTCTTAACAGAAGGTAGGACATCATCGACGGAAACCTGCATACAACACACACATCCCCGTTATTCCCCAGAAGTGACCGTCACCGTATGCCTATATTGTAACTCAACTCCAGGTGCCACAGTGAGTTTGTCAGAAATTTACTTCAGCACCGTTGTTTATTTTTTCCTCGTTCTACTATACTGTTTATACATGTGACGAAATGTAAGATACCCTAATGATATCCACAATGTGTGAGTAGTACTTAGTATCCATCGCCAAAGATTGTTGTACTTCTGTTGCTTTCAATATGAATGTCTCAGCTGATGACTATGGTGGGTCAAGAAGGGGCGGCTTTCATCGTAGCGGTGGTTGCAGAACCTGCAATTGGTCTGCTGACAATGATAAAAATTTCGGGGATTTAGAAACCAGCTTATTATCTGACTCAGTTTGGGTAACAGTGAAGTCTTAAACGTAATACATATTTCCTTATGATTTGTCTGTTGTCCTCTCTTCTCTGTCGTAGGCTGATGAAATGTTAGCTTAACCGTTAACCCATGCAAGAACATTCTTGTACTTCATAAAGACAGTATGAAGTGACCTTGTTGTGCCCCGAATCACACCGCAGCCAATTATTTCCGCTAGGTATTTAGATGAAATTTTCGCCCATCATTTGTTTGTCTGAGATGGCTGTAGTTCGGCAGGCTAGTATTTATACTGGGTGATGATTGAAGGTTGGATGAAAATTTGAGAAATCCTTCTACGGTCTAGAGTTTCACCTCATCTTCAATCAACACCCAGTATGAATTTTTTGGCGCTGGTACCAGTATGCAGTGCAAGTAGCCAGGCATCATACCTTTCTGAACCCTACTTCCGTCAGCGTGGTATCTCACTCTAATCTTCAAGTTGACGCAAAGGGTTCAGACAGATATTATTGGGTGTCGTTTGGTGACATATCTTTTGCTAAGTGTTATAGCAGTTCTCAGAAAAAGCGCAGGTTTGTCTAGAAGCTAAGAGGTTGCAATCCAATTTGCGACTTTGTACCTACAACAGTATGAAATGATTGGGTGCCTTGATGAATTTGCGTGAAATTATTAGTATATATTTCTGAAACGACTAAGGTTACATGAAACAACTCAAGATACACCTCGAACTTCTAATTATTGCGTAAAAATATCATCATTTACCACTTATCGATGAAAAACTACCAGGAGCCGGACAATTCATCCCAGACTACAACCCCTCCTAAACTCATGGTCCCCATTGGGAGAGCGGCTAGAAATGTTGGTACAAAATACCGTTTGCACCCAAAAGTGCAAGTACTTCTACTCCTGACAACCCCTCATCTGAAAGCAAAGCCGACCGAAAGTTACCTCATGTGACGCGCCGACCCTGAATGGCTTGCCGTAATATGACAACATTAGCTGGATAAAATTGCATCCGTGGCTTTATTTATTCAAATGGCTCTGTTTCAGTGTTACCGATCTAAAAAATTGCCAGACTCTGCACGACGCCGTACAATGTCAGGCCTAAATTTGCTCCGCTGTCCACTCCAGTTTGGCTTGACGTCTGTAAACAGTACAAACTTATTGAATACTGGCAAATCTCCTGATTCATTTGTTCTCAACACTCGGCATACCCTCATAGATTACACGACCCACTACTACCAGGATGTATCCCATGCCGAGAGATTATACCCTCATTAAATCCCACCACTGATGTTTAACGATATCGCTGTAAAAAAACAATGATCTGAAAATCCCTCCTGATCACCCTGTCTGATAGTACTGACATTTATTTGAATATTCTTACCCTCGTTATGGATAGTGTGCCTTAGACTTTGCCGATGCAATGTCATTTGGTTGTCCGACTGTCTTCTTTGACTTGTAGTGCACCTTCCTTGCACCAAAATATAACTGGGGCCAAAATAAATAGACTAAATGAAATTAATCAAATAAAACTCTAGCTTGCTTCCTGATGCTTAGGGTGTTTTTAAGTTTCGTCTTAATGAGCATGCATCCGAGCAGGCTTGGACGCCATTTTGCGCTCCACTGTGCTGGTTAACACGCATGTACTCCTAGTCCCTGGTCCAGCCTTGCAAGCCAGATAAGTCGATTAAACTTTTCCCCCATTCATTATCACTAAGTTTACTTTAATGAAATACATCGCTCCTTCAAATATATTCCGCATCAGTTCTTTTGATTTGTGTTTTGTTACCAGTACTTACACGTTAGGTAAAGTACTGGTTAAGCAGGTACTAGAACACATCAAGTTAAGTAGGGTAGATCGAACGTTGTGAAATTGTAACACACACCCCTACAGACGTAGGACTCAGTAGTTGCCTCCGTATGATTGAGACTTATTATGAATGTTTCACT